TCCTTCCGAGGTGGGTGAAATGAGGACCCGGACGGTGGGGGCAAGTTGCTGACTCAATTTGCTAAAAAAAAAAACCACTTAGAAAGGGCTGAAAGCCCTATGAAGCGGTATATAAGTCTAATTAATAAATAAATAAATAATAAATAACTCTTGAACCCTTCAATGCCTTATCTAGGCAGGTATTCCAATTTATGGCTGACGGCTTCTCTCTGTCCATCGCCTTCTCTCCTCCTCCTACAGATGTGCAACCTGTTGCAGTTTTTCTGGGACCGCGAGCTACAGCACCGCGTGGAAGCCATCATTGCTTTCTCGGAGCGCTATGTGGACAGGCTGCAGACCAACCAACGCCAGCGTTACGCTACGCTGATGCAAGCTTTCACCATGTCGGCTGCGGAGACCGCCAGGCGCACCCGGGAATTCCGCTCTCCTCCCCAGGAGCAGGTATTGGGCGGGGCTCCTGCGTAGAGGGAGGAGCCAAAACTAAACGGAAGGGAGAACCACTGAATGGTAGAACATACAAATGCCTTCTGCGTGTCAGCAATATCGGGTTTAGGAGTTTGAAACTCTGGGAAGGGCTAGTAAATAGTTGTTTGATATCCAGAGCGGTTGGCTAACTTGCTACTAAATGCGCCTGCGGAATTCCAGTTTAGGGTTTAGATTTAGATTTAGGATTTGGGTTTAGAGTTTAGGGTTTAGATTTAGTTAGGTTTAGAGTTAGAGTTAGATATAGTTAAATTTGCATTGATTTAAGATTTAGATTCAGAGTTGGATTTACATTTAGATTTTAAGATTCAGAGTTAGATTTAAATTTAGATTTAGAGTTAGATTTAAATATAATTAAATTTACATTTAGATTTACATTTAGATTTAAGATTAGATTTAGATTTACATTTAGAGATATTTACATTTAGATACACTTAGATTTAGATTTAAGATTTAGATTTTAGTTATAGAGTTAGATTTACATTTAAGATTTAGAGAGATTCAGAGTTAGAGTTATTTAGATTTAGATATAGTTAGATTTACATTTAGGTTTGCATTTAGATTTAAGATTAGATTTACATTTACATTTAGAGATATTTACATTTAGATACACTTAGATTTAGATTTAAGATTTAGATTTTAGTTATAGAGTTAGTTTTACATTTAAGATTTAGAGTTAAATTTGGACTTAGAGTTAGGTTTAGAGTTAGATGCTTATAGGCTGCCCAACTCCCATATAAGCTAGTCCTTGACTTACAATCATTCATTTAGTTCAATGTAATAATGGCACGGAAAAATACGACTTACGACCACTTCATGCACATATGACCATTGCAGCATCCCCCATGGTCAGTTGATCAAAATTTGGGCTCTTGGCAACTGGCATGAACTTACGACAGACAGTTGCAGTGTCCCAGGGTCACATGATCACCATTTGTGGCCTTCCCAGCCAGACAAGTGAAGTCTGGGTGGACGCTGGACTGGCTTAATGACCACGTGATTCACTTAGCAACCGTAAACCCATAGTCCATGCAACTCCTCTAGTAGTGGGATCCTGTGGGAATGCCACAGTTGCTGTGTTTGGTACAAAGCTGAAGCCTCAAGGTGTCTCCTAAGGCAGCTCCCGAGAATACGGAATTGGCATCTTCGAAACCAGAATGTTCTTCTTGTAAAACAGATCAACATGCTGCTACATTTTAAGAACGGTGCCGATCTTGAGGATTGCCCAGTACCTGAAGAGATCCGAGATGAATTGTTGGAATTTCATAACGACCTGCTAGCCCATTGTGGTAAGAGCCTGGAAGCTTTTAGGGGCACTTATCAACTCAAAGCAGAGTTTGGGGCACAATTCTGGAATTCTGGACCACTTCGAACCAGAGGGAAATTGGGAACGAGCTCATTCAGAAAAGGGTATCCATGCATCTGACATAAGAACAGGGGTGTCTCTACAATCTTGGCAACGTTCACTTGTGGACTTCAACTCCCAGAATCCCCCAGACAGCTTGGCTGGCTGGGGAATTCTGGGAGTTGAAGTCCATGGGTCTTAAAGTGGTTGGAATTCTGGGAGTTGAAGTCCATGGGTCTTAAAGTGATTAAAGTTGGAATTCTGGGAGTTGAAGTCCATGGGTCTTAAAGTGATTAAAGTTGGAATTCTGGGAGTTGAAGTCCACAGCNGGCAGGAAACTCCCTTCCTTCCACATGCAAGATTGTGAGAATACCTCCCTAATAAACAGTCCTCCAGTACAGAATGATTCCCTTCCCAAATAACATCCCCCCTCCCCGTTTCAATGGCAGCCGAAAAGCAGCAGCGAAGCAGAGGCTGACAATTTTTTTCCCCCTTCAGAGTACAGAATGAATAATGATGTTCAGACCAATACAAATACTAAAATAGACATTTCCACATATATGTAGAGTCACCGGGAGAGAGGTGACATATAAATTATTATTGTTTTCATCATCCTGTTAATTTTGTATTATCCAAAATACATTTTGCATAGTTTATAGCTAATCTTTTTCACTTAATACAGTTTTCTTGTATAGCAAAATTAAAATCCTGTCTATGTGTCTGTGACATTTTTGGGATACAAATAGTATTGTTATATTACCAGTTGATAACCTAATCTCATGTTCATATCAAGTGTTAGCTTCTTAAGTAAATGAACATGAACATGAAAATGTACATGCGATAATATAAGATAACACATATATAGGGCATATAAAATGATTTACATTAAAATACCTTAATGAATTGGATTGAACAGAGTTCTCCTTTATACAAAGGCTCACAGTTTTACAGTCTGTACTCAGAAGTCAGACAAATATTGATTTGACTACAGTTATGGATTCTTAATGTCCTTTAAAATTCTTATAAGATATATCATTTGCATAACAAATGCTTCATAGGTAACAAAAGAAGTTTGGAAGTGATACACCACTGTTAAAAGTATTAGGAGAGACAGTGATGTATCACTTCCAAACTTCTGGCAAGTGTTTCTACATGTTTAGACTAGTTGATGTGACAATCTAACAACTAATGCTACTACATTATAAATTCTTTTGAGTAGTTTCTTAAATATTATAAAATAAATATAATTGAAATATAGTTTTCAAAAGTAAATTGTGTTTGTTGTTCAGTATTTGATTAAGACTGTACTAATGGACTTTATCTTGATTTTTATTAGGGTGGAGCTTTATCTTTATACACTGCCCTCACAACGCAACAGAAGTTAGGGGGTGTTGTAGCACTCAGCTGTTGGCTTCCACTGCGAACTTCATTTCCACAGGTAGTTTGTTTCATAAAAAAGATTTGATTTGATTTGATTTGATTATATTTCTATGCCGCCCTATTCCCAGAGGGACTCAGGGTGGCTCACAAACCAAGTAAAGGGGGGGAGGATACAAACAGGAACAAAGACAACGGACAAACAACAACAACAATTTAAAAACAATCAACAGCCACACAATTCGAGCGGGGACGGGAACTCATCATCCCCAGACCTGTTGGAACAGCCAGGTTTTAAGGGCTTTGCGGAAAGCCTAAAGGGTGGTGAGGGTCCGAA